GGAAAAAAAATTATATCCAATGGCCATAAGTTGGCCATAAATTCACACACACATACGCATGGACGCGTATATATAAATGTATATATAGTAAACCTTTGGTAGTACTAACTTCTTTCCAGGCTGTTTTTTTATGTCCCTGCCACTTGAGTAATTAAATTCAGCATCGGCGAAATGGGGGCCGTGCTGCGGCCAATGGGCGTGGCATTAACTCTTTTGTGGCTTGACATTTTTGCGGTTAAATGAATTTAAAACGCGCAGTGCAGCGCACAACTTCACAGGTGCCAAATGACAACAACAAATTGCCCGATTGCCTTCGCTCCTGGCCAAAAGTGTGTTGTCCTTTCCGCTCCTGTCGATGACGATGTCGACATATGGAAATGCTGATGGATGCATTTTGGGCGCGGCCAGGAATTCGACTCGAATCCTCTACCCATTGATATGCAAATTGAAAAGACAACTGAAACAACATAACGAGCAGAGACACACAGAAAGCGGAAATGTATTTGCGGATATTTACGAACGAATATTATGAAGCCCTCGGGATATTCAGGTTTCTGAAAATTCCGATTTATGTACAAGGAAAGTTCTTAGATGTTTTATGTATATTTTTTATAGAAAAATAAATATCAAAATATTACATATTTTTATCAAGAATATATCATTGATGGTTTGCTAGAAGCCTTAGGGATAAAAATATTTTAGTGGTCAGAAAATCATGTCTTAGAGGGATGCCTCTGGAGGATGATAAATTCCTCTAGTGCCTCAGAGTTGATGAGTACTTTCTTCTGTATTTTTTTATTGGGAAATATTTTCAGTTTACGTAACCAACATTGGGCTTTCTCTGATGAACTTAAATTGACACGACTGGCATTTAATTTTCGCTGTCTACGGCAACGTACACGTTTCTCTGCCTATTTTAATGTAATTTATTTGCAGTTGTAATTGTTGTCGTGGAAAAAGTAAAAATGAATATAAAAATCGTTTAAAATCGTATGCAAATTGTTTCTTTAATTGAATCATTTAAGGGAAGCGACAGTTTGAAACGACAACATTTGACATTTAACATTTATTTTCAATAATTTGCGCTTATCGCAAGATTGTTATAATTAAAATAGGACCATAAAAATCAGAATAAAAACAAGAAATAATTATATGAATTATTTAGTGAACCACTATAAATGTTAATATGAACTTTGTATAAATATATTTTCAGATTAACACTGCTTTAAATTTAATAAACGGTTTAGTCTATGTTCATTAGTAGAGGGACAATATCTCTTTGTACCCCTTGTCAGCTGAGAAGGATTAACCAACAATCTTTTGCTCAGTTAAGGCTTAAGTCCTTACAATAACCCCACCTTTTCTACCTCGCCAACCCTCTTAATTTCGTACAGGGAAAAAAAGTACAAAAAAAGACACACTCGTTCTACTACTCCAACTTGCACAAACTAAAAACATAGAAAAGTAAACTAAAAAGCTTTCCGTCGTCAACTTCCTAGGCAAGTTGCATCTCTGCATGATAAATGCGGTTTTTGATGTGTCCATGTGAGATGTAAAGGATTTGCTGACAGTGTGTGTGTTCTCTAGAAGTGTGTGTAGATTGTGTGGTGCTTTTAAGGAGTGACAAAACATAACGCGAAATGCTTCATTTGTTAGAAAAACAGGAAAAGGAATTTCTTGACTTCAAAACCAACAACCTAAAAGGAAAGTTTGTTCAACTTTTGCGCTTGTCAGTCTCGAATGGTAAGGTATGTAAACAATTTTTTTAACTAGACTATATTTTGTACATTCTTGTACATTCGAATTTGTAATATTAAATATTGGGTTTAGGTTCCTTTTTAATCTCTACACCTCGACCTGCTTTAATACTTTTGCTATGGCACCTGGCACGCGGAGTCAACACCTATGTTTCTGGCATTTGGCCCAAGTTTTCTAGCCGAAAATTAGCACTCAGCTTCTTACAGATTAGGCACAAGCTCGGATTGTTGCCAATTGTGTTGCCAAGTGTGTAAACACGATTAACTTTAAAATTGTATTTAGCTATTATCTGCAAAAAATCTTTAATATAATTAAATTTAAACCGAACAAAATCAAGGCTTTCATAAAAAGAAATCACAAATATTTAAGTTTATTGATAGGTATCCGATTTTACTGTACAAATTCCGAAAGCTCAGGAAACACTTTCCTCTGGCTAAGAGTAAAAAATCCTGTTTTTTTGCCATCTGTGAAAATGATATCTTAGATTTGTCCTTTTTCGCTTGTTTGGACTTGCGCCGTTGGCGTGTCTCATATTGCCTTGTGGAACATGTGGGGAGAAACTCATTCGCGTAGTACCAATTATCGTGATACTGGGGCAGAGTTGTTGGTGGATTCGTTTCACTGTTTGTTGCAGCTGCCTCCTCGGGGGGTCCGTGTTCTTGTTGTGATTGGGATTGTCACGGCAACTGCGATGGACACACCAGCTCTGTCACACACTCACACGGCGATATGGCGATATCGGTCCTCGACAAAATCAGAAGACCCGCCACCAAACGTGGTCCTGGCTTTTTCCGATTCTGATGCTCCAACTTCCCATTTTTTCTTTGTTTTCACTGCTTGTACATCCTACGTGATGTTAGAATTTCACTTTTGTTACAACGCGCTGGCAGACAATTGCAACATATTGTTGCGCTTCTTTCAGCGTCTCCCTCTCTCTCATTTATGGAAGTGTTTTTCACGTTGTTTTCCTATGGTTTTTTTGTGGCACGATTTTCCGGTCCTGTTTTGTCCTGTATTTTGATGTGCTTGTTGACAGTGGTCGAAAAGAATTGAAGCGGATGGTAGAATACATGGGATATGAAATAAGCTGTTACGGTTTTAATTGGAATTCTAATGCGGAGTAGTCGTTGAAGTGTTGTGGGAAGTTTAAGGAGACATAATCCTCCGCAAGATGATATCCCTGATTTTTGCTATTAGTTGTTAATTTTTAAAAACCAATTATCCTTGGCAGTGTTTTGCTAACCTTGTATGTCAGCATTGGAAGAAATATCACTTAATTTTTGAGTTTTGTTAACTTTATCCAAATTTTATTCATAATTAAAATTAAATTTCTTAACCGCCAAAGCAAAAACTTAATCCGTATTGGTATAAACTTTAAAAGATTTTCCTGCTTCCGCTGCACATGGCGTACAGCAGGGCTCAAAGCTCCCCTAGTCGAGCTTTGAAATTCATTTGAAATTTATTAAAAATAAATTCCTCGTCTGCAATTTTCTGCTTCCTGGTTCTCTATCTATCACTCACTAATCTGTCACGTAAATTCGTAACGTTTTCTTGATGAAATTGAGAATGATGAACCAGCATTTATATTTATTTATTCTACCCACAGTTTATATGTATATATTTTTGCTGCTTTCTATTATGTGAAGGCAAAACCGAAATATATAAAGTCTACAAAAAGCAAACAAAGAGGAGCCAGCCAAAGAAGAATCAATTTAATTTTACAATATCCGCTTTATACCTGAAACCGGCGACGTGACCAATTTACTCAAGTAACAAAAATTTCTGTGTTATTTATTTAGCGGCGAAATCAAAAAATCTACGGAGAGACAAACATAATAATACAGAACAGCTGTGTCCTTGTGGTAATAGGCGTTTAGGAATAATTAAGCCATAATTTGATTTCTTTTTTATGTCCTTTTAGGTTTCCTTGGTACTTCATTTAATGGCCTTGTCTGCGGAACAACTTTGCCGGATGTAAAAAGTATGTTTTTGGATTAGGCGGACATTGCCCCTCTTAAAGGTTTTCATTCTTAATTTTCCTAAATTTTTGTTTACCTAGAAATAAATAGTGAGAAACTTAGTTCATTTATGTACCGATTTTGCACGTCTTAGAGACCCACATGTCAAAAATAACAAAAGAGCATTTAATAATATATTTTCTGTTTATAATTTATGAAGCCTTCTGTGAACATAAGCCTGCCTAAATTGAGAATACGTGGGCGCTCTTTTACCCACGTAGAGTCGTCTAGACAGTCTTACTTTTTGTGGGTCAAATGGAATGAAAGTGAAAGAAAGCATAAGGTAAAATTTTGCCTAACAAAAATCAATTTCTTTTTTGTTTTCTACAGAGATGCACAAGAAATCCGAAGTCATTGTTTTCATAAAGCCTGAAGCAATCGATGAGTTGGCAAAAAAATTTACATATCCACTTTGGTTGTGCTTTTTTTGCGAAACATTTTCTTTGGGATAAGAAGTAAATTCGGAATTGTAAGCCAAGAAAAAGGATATTTTCCAGACAGCACCATTTTCCACACACACATTTCACCCGAAGAAATTCTTTCCTTTGGCTCAATTAACATGCATCCATGATGACACTTTCGTCCTTTTGTCCCATCCATCGTCTAATCAGCGCCTTTGTTGCCACTTTCACTTGCACTGCTCTTTTCTGTTTTGGGGATCAGTGGGATGCACTCAGCCCAAGGCATTTTCAATGACTCTTAACTGCACTTCCCCAGCAAAGGTGAAATTGCAGACCCATTTAAGGGTTGTTAGCCTTCCATTTCATGGACCTTTTTTTTGTTCTGGGTAGAACTTGGAGAGTAAGTTCGCTGCTGCCGGGGAGACATTGTCAAAAATTCATAATTGAACACTTTCAGCCATCGACTGAGAGATGATAGAGCAGGAGAATATGCATGAGGGTGCTACGGACTACGTACATGGTGTGGATGTTGGCCAAGTGCTTTTACCGTAGAGCATTTGGCCAACTGAATATCTTCGTCGTTAATAATTCAAGAGCTTTTAATGCCATGAATATTCATCAAATTTTGAGCATGATTTGATTTTATTGCGTATTTTCTATGACGTGGCGAAAATCAACCACCCCTTTCGGTGTAAAGGTTTAACCACCGTATTTACAAAATTTACAAGAAGGTATTATATATGTATATAAGATATAGATATTTCGATTTAGAGCATCTACACTATCTAATAAGCTCAAATGTTAATGTGTTTAAGTTCAATGTTCACCAGGGTACAGGAATAGTGAAGTTCCAATTAAGATCTAGTTCATTATCTGGCTTGGTCAGACTCTTATCATTGCCGTTATGCTGAGAGTGTAATCTTCGGATAAAGTCAATATGACTCATTACATCCGTATAAAGACTTGGTCTTTGACATTTTCTGTTTGTAATAAAAATTCCGATCTGAACAAAACGATAAGTGTTGTGACACTTAACGATTGCTCCCACTGGGCCACCAGTGTCACCGATGCAGAGGTTACTACCCCAATTTCCGGCACAGAATTGATCCTTTGAGATACTAGCGAAACCACACGCTTTTGGAAGCTGACGGCGAATGTCCAAGGTTCTCAGTTCATCGGTGTCATGCTTTGACTCGGTCGTGCCCCATCCAGTTCCGGTCAGGACTTGTATTTTGTCGGTAACTGGCCTCCATTTTGTATCCCACAGAATGCAAATGGGTTTGATGTTAGCTGTAGGAGAAAGTTTGCCAAAAAATACTTCAATACCTCATAAAATCCATTAAAGTGTAACCTACCTTTATAAACCACACTCCTAACCAATAGAAGAATGGCAATATCGTTGATATGGCTTGCTGGATTGTAAGAGCGATGCTTATAGGTATTTTGTACTTGATACTCCTCTCGAGGTCGTTTTGTTTCTCTCCTGTTATATTCTCCCAATCTAACAATGCTGGAGAAAAGCATAAAATATTTATTTTCTTTACATACATTCATTGAGTTATAAGCGTCACTTACATCTGCACTTTCGGAATCAAGCAATGTGCTGAAGTTAGTACTAGTTCTAAAAAAAAAAATAACAAGTGAATTGGAAATACTTTTTTACCGATAACTCAAATCAAATCATCGCATGCCAAAACCCGAATATACTTACTACGAGATATCAGAGTACCGCCACAGATAAATTCATTTCTAGTTGAGTGTAAAAAAGCCATCCAGGGACTTGAAGAACTGTCCGCGATCTGTCCATTAACGATGCGTGTACTATATTTACTGGATGAACTTACTCCACAGTCAGCTTCAAGGAATTGCGTTGATCCCGGGAGTGGGAAAATAAGCAGAAGAAAAATGATTGAGCTTCCGATTGCTACGATCGTCATTGCGCAAATGTCAGTAAAGAGCAGAAGAAATAATTTTATGATGTATAGAATATCTGTTATCAAGCATTAAATTCATAGAATTTCAAAACCAAGAAACGTAAATGCAGTTCTTAAAGATCATAATGAAAGTCATTATCAATATTAAAAAAGAAAGATTGAATTTCTAACTAAAGTTCAGCAACTTCAAGATAAAAATGTTTACTAGTTATTGTTTAAAAACGTTAATCTGTGATAATATTGGGAAAAATGTAAACGAGAGCTGCTTATATTTCTTATAGACTTATTTGGGTTCCCAGGTTAAAAATAAGTTACCCAAAAAAGTTAAACAAAATCTAGGTCAGGCAACCCGAAATATTTTTCTAGAATACAATCAACGTTCAACGGGCGTGAGAAAGGACAATCCATGTAGCCATTTTTATGGCCACACGTGGCTGTCTGTTTTGTCGTCAACCTGGCCAACAATGTAAGCTCCGATTCGAACATTCCCATAACCCACCCATTTACCCCTCTTAACGGAAGGCAAGAATTTTTATTTCAAAAGTTTCCATTTTGGCGCATCGTAAATTTGGTCGAAAATACAACATAAAATATATTGATAGATGCGTTTATCGAGTGTGTGCAGGAGGTGTTTTGGGAGCTTTCCTGGCCCTCTCAATCGATTTTCTAAATATCCAGATCGTGATAAGCCGAACAAAAAATTAGCCCTTAACCCCATTCGCGGCTAATCACTCTGATTACTTTGAATATTCAGTTCAGGCCCATTAAATGGCTATTTGCTTATCAATGCCGTGTCAACCTACTACCTCCTGCCACACTCTAATGCCCCCGCGACCCTTGACACTCACTCATCAATTTCTGGCCAGTCGTTTGACAATCTGAAATCATTTTGGTCTTTGGGCATTAAAGCCCAACCATGCATGGAGTACGTGAGACAAGTCTAAATGTCACTAGCTCGAATGCAGAGCAGGCAGGTTCGTCAAATGAAATCAAATGATTTGCCGTGCAGCTGATTTATGTTTAATTTATAGAGCATACTCCAAGGGGCAAGGCCTGACCGGCATGCAAATATATTCCAGCAGACACAATCCGATGAAGACATAAACTCAAACTGACACAGAGCGACGCGAAACACGACAAGGCCCACAGAGCCACAGAGAAAATCTCTGGGAAACTGAGAGAAAATGGGTACGAAAGAGAGCCAATTCAGCGAGAATAGTGGACAGGCTGAATATGGAGAGCTGGAATAAGTTGACCAAGTTTTTGCTTGTGGTAGGCCAAGGAAAACTCGGCTGCCAACGAAGCCAATAAGTGGAGCAACAGACAGGCCAACTGGAGCTAAAAGCCGGCTAAAGGACTCTTAAGGACTCGCGGTATAAGAGAGCAAAATATTCGAAGAGAAACGGCAGTTAGCGTAATGTTATAAATGTATAACACTTTTATTCGATTTGTCTTATATTCACCTTTTGGCTTGATTCAAACCTTAGCAGTTCCATTTCATTTTTAAGGGCAATTTAATTTACTCATTTGGTAATTGGTGTAATGTTTGTTTATTTTATAAATTCAGGCATCTTTATTATCTACTAAATAGCAAATGTTACTGTGATCTTAAATAATTACTAAAATCAATAACATGTGGCTCCAATTCAAAAACTAATAAGAACACCCAAGTATTAACTTGTCAATCACTCAATATTTAAAATGTATTCCCTTCTTGACAATTCCCATTGCAATTAAAAAATAAAAAAAGGGAATTCGACGGGAATCTCGTTCGAATGGCACAGTTCCACTCCCCTTCCAAGCAGCATCCATTTCAAATAAAATACAAGAGTCGATGGCTACGATGATTGCGATGGGGCGATGGAATGTGGGGCGCAGCAAATCAACAGTGCCAAATTCAATTTCAAATAGTGAAACACATTGTTCTCGTGTCTCACTGTTTCGTTGACAATTTTTTAGTTTTTATTATTTTTCGCCTCGCTTCGGTAGAAGACACTCACACAGGGAGTGTGAATTGAGGGAGGGTGAGAGTAAGAGTTCGACTCTGTGGGAATTTATTGAAAATGCTTCGATTTATGTTTAGTGCGATATTTGCATTTTGGCTGACGAACGGAACGGCAACGGCGACAAATGCTGCAGAAATATGTTTTCAGCTATAAATGTGTTAGCGAAGAGAGATGAAAGTGCGAGGATTCGACAATCGGAGGATGCCTGGAAATAAATAGATTTGAGCTAAGGTTTGCCACTAGGGGAATCCGATTGGTTGAGATGACAGGATAGATAAAACCTTGAGCTTCCTATTTTGAAAAATAAAAATTTAGGTTGGGGAAAGCGCTTAAAGTTGGTCGTTAAAGGGTTACACTTGTACTTTTAGACTTTATTGTATTTAAAATACTCAATAAACTTAAAGATCTACGGAGATATTTTCTCAATGTTAATTGTCGTTGTAAGAAAAAGAAAAAACTTACTTATAAAATGTCATCTGGAACCTATTCCGCTATTTGAAACAGGAAAATGGAAAAGCAGCATCCATAAAAAGCAATTCGACTTTGCGGCTTTTAGGACTGATTGTAAGAGATGCCGCAAACAAATGAAGTTGTCACCAGTGGTTTCATACATATAGGCAGACCGCGAAAAGCCGCAAACGGAAAATTGAGCTGGCGAGTGAAAAAAAATAGGACCTGCAGGCACAGTCCAACTAACGAATAGTCTTTAATCTTCTTAAGTGAGACTGCCCTCGCATCGGGCACAGCTGTTCTGCCAGTAGAGGACTGTCATCAGAAGCGAATGTGAGTCGGCAATAAACCAGGCCAAGGAGCTAACAAGTCAAGGAGCTTTCAGATCCTCTCTTACTCTGGCATTTTTATGACTTTCCTCCTCTTTCCCAAAAAATCCTTGATTTGGATGCTGGGTTATTTCTTTCGAAAGGCGAAAGGCATATTTAAGGCATTCGATTGATAACCAGAAATTAGGAAAACCTAGTGGATTTCCATTTGGGAATCATTAGACCTCTGCTTTCTATCATATCTTAGTTCATTCGGTTTCTGACAACAAATTAGTGAGATACTTTACGCATTGCTTGATTTTTGGAATACTCTTTATTTAAGAAGTTATTTTGTAAGGCTATAAACTTAAAGCTTAAAACCTTCCATCAACATCAAATATCGATTTACTATAATTAATGAAAAGGGTGTACACGTCAGATTTTTATCAATCATTCTGCTGATGCTAAGCACAAAAGATAAGTTCAGTCCCGATCAACGGGTATTCCAGAGCTCTTTTTACCTATCGGAAATTCCGCTTCCCTGATTCGGATTCAATCTCGAGTGGCATCAGGAGAGGGCAGTGGATGTAATTACTTTAATGCGACCATTTGCCGCTTTAGTTGCTGCTGATGTAGCTGCTGCTGCGAGTTGCTGCTTTGGCCGAGATAAAGATAAACTTTTGCAATTACAAGAGGCGAGAGTGAACGAAGCAGAAACAAGCAATCGGTTGGGGGAATAGGGACGCAATCCGATAGCATCGAATTGAGTTTACTTTTAGTGCGTTTCCCATTGGCATTGCCTAATTAGCTGAAACACCTTCTTCGACTTTTGTTTAACTCCCTTTTCTCTACAGTATCCAAGTTAAAGACCAAAACCCAACTTGAATTATGCCCACTTAAATGAACTCCAAAGTGCGACGTCTTTAAAAACTTCTGCCTAACTTGCAAGCGTTGAAAATTTCCCTGTTAACATATGCAAAGTATACAAAAAAACAGAAAGCTGGCAAAAAACTGTGCTGCGACTTAGGTGGGTCCGCCTAAAATAACTTTTGATGACTTTTTGAAAGTTTTACGCTTCACCAGAAGTAAAACTCAAATTACACGAACCAGTATTACTTATGGCCAACAATAACAGGAGCAAGAGCAACAACATCCGGAAAGATATAAACTTGCTACCCTCGCTTCCGTCCTCGTCATAATTTGACGGTCGAGACTTTCGGACTTTTGATCCTCAACAAGTGAGTGCAACAAATGAGCAAAAATTCCAACTAATTGGGCCACAGTTTGGAGTGGGTCCTGAAAGTAATTGGTTAATAGGTGGAGCCAAGCCAAAGCAAACTTACCGGGAAAATTGAATAGCTGGCATAGTCAAACAAACTATAAAATGTAATAAATTCAGTTAAATTTTTGTAATAATTGAATCAATTTATTTTTGAAATGATACGCGCAAAGATTCGGTTAATGAATACTAATAAAATTAATTAAATTTTCTTTTATAATTTATGGTTATTCAATAATATTTATTTAATATCGTATATTTTCCATTGCCAGCCTGCATTAATTTCACCTTTGTTGTGCAGAACATGGCATACATTTCGCTTAACATTTCGGGGTCTGCAAAAAAGTTAGTAAAATTCACCGTTAATGAACCCCGAATCCAGATATACGTTCTTTCATTCAATATTCCACCGCTGGTCTAAGCCGCAGTCCGAAAACCCAACCGGTATACAGAAGATAAACCCTCACCGCAGAGTCACATGCAAAAATTCGTGGGCTTTTCACCATTTTTTCTAGCTTCTACTGCTTCTACTGCCGCTGACCAACCAAACATTTTGTTTGTGCAAAAATTTTGTGTGATTTCCCCACGGAAATTGATGATGGTGTTTGCTGAGTCGCAAACGTGTTGGCGGAGTTAAGCGGGATGAGTTTGTGGGCCAGGCCAGTGCCATACCCATCGCTGGGCCCACCTACAGTGAATTTGTCATTTCCAGTTCTAAACGTGCGGACAAACACTGAATCAGTCGTGCCCGGGCCTTGGCCTGGGGGGCTACGGGGCTACGGGAATCGGGAATCGCAGAAGGCCGGTCAGCCCAGGCCAGGAGATGGAACACGGAAACCCCAGCCAAGCTGTGCCTGCTCAATGACGATTCAGTGTGCGTTGCTTCTAGAGATGACGGCGTGATTGGTATAGCGATTATTTGTAAATGGTTTATGGTTTCGCACTTTTTATTGTTATATCTTAAATTTATATTATTATTGATGATTTTTACTTTCCAGTATTAAGAACATAAAATAATTTTAAAGATGTTTATTTTTTTTAGGATTTTTATTATTTGTAAGAAATATGAGAATGACTTATTAAAAAAGTATTAATAATTAACATTAACATTACTTAGGTATTCCTATAACTCAAGATCCTTGTCAGGCAATCGTGAGTGCTGCTCATATTTGGGCTTTTTTTTGCATGGTTGTCAGCAGCAATGCCAGAGGACTGGAGCCTGGAACCGAGACTCGAGGACGAGGCCGAGGACGAGGACAAGAGCACAGTGCGTGTCGCTTTAACAAACCGGAAGCTACATGCGATGTAATGAAAAAGGACAGGGCGGAAGTCGCAGTGGGGTTCCCCATTTCAGCAAGGGTGGCGATTGGGCCGAGTTCAGAATCAGGACTATGGACTATGGACTACCGACTACGAACTACGGCCCTATCCGAATGAGTTTGCTTTAACGCTGCTGGTATTTATAGACAATTGGTTCGTGATTGTTGACAGCGCTCAGCGTCGCGTTGAACTCTCCACGGACCCAGCCGTCGAACATCGACCATCGACCACTCGAATCGAATTGACTCGGCTCGACTCGATTCTGCACTGGCAATTTTTTGCATGCCCCATAAAAATAGCACGAAATATGGTTGGTTGTGGGCAGAGGCGAGTTGGAGCCAGATGAGTGGGTTTAAGTGAATGACTGTGCACTGCATGCAGGAAATAGCTGGCAGTTTCCCCTTTTAGGCAATTGAGTTAGGCCCCCAGGCCAGGGGATAAATCTGAGAAATCTGCCAGGGATTGTTGTTACAAATTTTCATTTAACACGAACTGTTCGTTTTTGTTTGGTCAGAAGCTAAAAGCCAAGGATAATTCTTACAATCGTACCGATTTTATTTTCAATCGTATATTCAAGAAAAACATGTCATATTATAATTTATATCAAACATATTTCAATCTAAATTTTCGTTTTCCAGGTAATTTTAAAGCTGTCACCAAATTATGTCGGAAACAGAACAGAAAAGCTTAAATAGCTTGGAAGCTAATGGCATGCCTAAAGAAATAGAATCGGACATAACGACCATTGAAAGATCCTCAGAACTGGAGAAACTTATAACAATAACCTTGGAACAGATTGAATCGATTTCCCACGAAGACGATCTTACCGATAAAAACATATTGAATGTTTTAGAAAATTTCAATAGAAAGGAACTTTTGAACTTTGATACGGTCTACAATGAGGTTCAGAGTATTAAAAAGTTACAGGATAATAATAATAAGCAAATGCAAGCAGTGGATCAGGACATAGCTGATATATTTATGGATTTGCATAATATTTATATGCGTCTGGAAAAACTGGATAAAAGTGGCAGGAAGTTAAGCAGTCCGAAAAAATCACAGTTGTTAAAACATGTCAAGGAATCTGAGAATTTGCTGAGTCGTTCTCGGCATTATCTTTCAAACGATCCCAGGGAAATGAATGCCATGCTTGTGGGCCCACCAAAGGAACCCGAATAATCTTCCATTTCTAGGTTGTATAAAACGGAAGTATCTGAAAGTACCGAAAGTACCGAGAGGCATGCCTTTCTGACCAATAATGATTAAGAAATCTGCTAATCAAGACTTAGCAGATGTTTTGGAAAATAATTCAATGTAAGAATTTTTCGAATAGAAAATATAGCTTTCAATTTGTATATTATTTTAAGTGAGCAACAGGGAAAATTCGAAAAGGCCTATCCAGATGTATACACTTAACCATTATCCCGATTACCTCACTTAACTGGGAATAACCTGCAGACCTTTCCATTTCATTTTTCCTTTTCAATTGCTGGTTTACTTGCTCCCTCGAACTTCTTTGTTATTTTTCTGTTTGTTCGTTCGATGGCTTTGTAAACAAAGCAAAGTGCAAATTTATGTGGTAAACCACTTGAAATCGAACATTTTTGCCATCAGAGGAGATGCCCTGCTGAATGCAAAGCTTTGATTGTTACTTAAAATGTATCTTGAACCGTATCTGTATCTCACTTTTTGCCCTAAACGAATCCAAATCTGAATCCGAATTCGAATCCGAGCCCGCAACTGTTGTGCAAATGTAAATGTTGGCAAAGTGGCAAGTCAGGTGGTTGGATGATGCTCTCTTCCATTCCATTAGCCTCAAGTTAAAGCTTTGGCTGAGCTGATGATTGTTAAAGTCGAAATTTGCATTTTGATTTGTGCCTAAAGAATATACGTTCTAAACTGTGTGTTAAATCTTTAGCTATTTAACTCGCTTTAATTCAAGTTCCCATCATAGCATCATTGATATATGGAGTTTAGTTATCCCCTTAGCTCGTTGTTATTGTTGAGGCGAAACGGGGTTAATTCGATTATCGTCAATCGGTGTGTGGTAGTTCTTAATTGATTTGAGCAAACGCTGCAAACGAGATTAATTGATGAGAAAGGGGGAAATCCAAAGCCGATGCCAAAGCCCAAATGGGCAAATGGACAAATGGCCAACCAAGCCCCCAATCAAAAACGGACAATTCAAATTGTGTCTATGCCCATTCAGAGGATTCCATTCTAAATTGTGTTGTCTTTTTTACTGCAGCAGGTTGTGTGCACTCAAAATAATAGAGCACAGTTGAGCGCAAATACGACAAAGGGACAAAACGCAAACTGAAAATGGGAAACTGAAAGCTGAATACAGAAAACACAAAACTGGAAACTTGCAAGTAGAAGGATCTAAGGATCCAAGGATCTCTGACTGCTGTTGCTGCCTCTGTAATGGCAGCGTTTACTCAATTTTAGTACGTTGTAAACGTATTTCTTTTATGGCCCCGTAGGTTATTTGTGCATCGCTCTGACTCGCTGGCACGGTCCTCATTCCGGGATTCTAGCATGCTCAGACAAACAATTCAGAAAAGATATATATCCCTGACACAATAAACGAAGTTCGTTTCCTGAGTGGCCATTTTACTGCGAGGCCTTTCAGTTGTAGGACCATTCCCCTCCTGCCCTATACATATATATATATATATATCCAGCTACTCAACCCCTATCTTGGGGCCAGAACTAAGCAAATATTCGCACACAAATATGATGAAGTATCGGGGGAATGGGGCTGGGTAGGTGGCTGGGTGGTGTATATGTTTGAATTCCTGCTTCTGGTTTGCTTTTAATTGCTTTCAAGTAAACAGAATGCCCCTTGGTAAATGGGAACATAAATATAATTGCCAGGTTGCTTCGCAATGCTTTAAAATTTCCACTCTCGAGGCCATATGTGCCAGAGTCAAACATTTGCCGGTCCAGCCTTTCCTTTGCATCCATTTGCCAGTGGATTCGCTTGTGTTTGCCACTGCCGAAGGTGTTATTTAACTTAATGCCATGATTTGACAGATTACATATTTACCACTCTGATTATTGTGGTCGCTAATGCCTACGCTTTTGATTTGACTACTAAACTGCTTAATACAATTATCAGGAAATTGGATAAGGACTGCTTAGCTTAGATAAATCCCAAACGTATGGGGAGCTTAACTAATTTATAGATTATAATATTTATAGTTCTCATAGGTGTTGCCATGTTTCGTCAAAAATAATTTCTTTTAATCAAATCAATACTAAATTTGAATGCGATTATAAAAACCATGTAGCTCATAACATTTTTAGAACAATAAATAAGTGTTTTATTTTTCAAAAATTGAAAACCTATTTTTGTGGTATTATTATGTGCATATAATGCAAATCACTTATGTTGCATTGTGTTATTTACATTGCCAACCCGCAGTGTGAATGATTTTTTTGTTTAGTCTTTCTTTTTTGTTTATGGAGTCGACTTTGGAAGGGGGTTGGTCAATTGCCAGCTGCATTAGGCCATAAATTTGCCAAAAAGTAAACAGTAAACATTTTATTGTTGCTTTCCACCCCCCAGCCCCCTCAGCATTCGACTGTTTTAAATAATTATTTAACATTTTACATTGTTTAGCTGGCGTTTTTCGTGTCGCCATGCGGGTGTTTTCAATGCAGAGGGGCGGCTTTTGTTTGTTGTAAAGATTTGCACGATTTGCATTTGTGCCAAAACGATTCATGAATGATTCATGTGCGCCAGACCAGAAGCAGATGTCGACAATACTCATCCCACTTCGATTTATGCATCGGGCACGTGCCAACCGTTTGGCGGTGATGAAGGTGGAGCTTTAAAAGGATTTCAAAACTTGCTGGATAGGTTGAGGGATCTGTACTTTTGAAATGAACTTAAACGGATTCAATAGTGCTCCATGCCTAAGGGAATTTATTATTTAAATTGAGAATTTTGGAACCTCAGTTTGCTTTTGGTTTCAAGTAACCCTTTCCTTTCATTGTTAGAAACAGTATTGCTATTAAAACTGTAACATAACTGAAACCTTAATCTCCTCGAAAAAATGGTGGTAAGTTTTTTATCTATTTTTGGGAATATTACCTCACTCCTGTGATCATATCTCTTTAACAGATAGAAGCAAAACAGACGCTGAAGAATGTAAAAGCAAGCAAGGGTGGAATTTTCCAGCAAGCACCGAAATGGAAAATAAGCCATGGCCTCGGTCGAAAGATGTCTCTCATAGACCTAGGTCAGAAGCTAAAGTATGATAAAAAATATAAACCAGGAGAGGAGGATCAAACACTATGGTTGGAAACAAAGGGACAGATCATTGCAGTCCAAAAGAAGCACATAAAGAATTTTAGAATGGACATGGACAATTTTTTTAAAACAAATACCAGGATTGTCCCTCTGATTTCTTGGCAAAAGCCAAAAAATAGTAATGATGCTTCATTGGAAATGACCAAAGAGTCAGATAATGAAAATGTTTTGGAAATGGAGATAGTGGCCAAAGCACCTAATGACTCAAAAGATAAAATAATAATCGGACAAACAGTTAAAGATCAGAAGAATCCTCCTGCCAAAAGGCGAGCTATGTTAAAGGATATCCTCAGTCCAGACATTGTTAAGCCCGTGCACAAACTTGCTTTGGATACGATCAATAAAACTTCTAGGAAGTCTTTATCGTCTATGGGAAACAGAATTCACAAGCCTAAGTATGGAGAAAATCGTTTTAAATCATTGCATAACAGAAAATCTATCAGAGAGGAACATGATTGTGATGATCTCACTCTTTGTGATTTTAATATCACGCCAAGAAACGATCCGAAATTTAATGTCAAAGAAGATAATTTGACTTATAGTGCCAATGAAAATAACTTGAGTTGTAATTCAGAAAATCTTGGAGTGATTGAGGAAATTTATGATAATACTTTAAATGATATAGAGCCAGATCACCCAGATAACAGCTTAGATCAATTTCTTGCAAACTTTAGCTTTCCTTTAGATGATGAAAAGCCCATAGATCTAAATATATTAGATGAACAGGAGGCAATGCAATTGGAAGTCGAAGAGCTGTGCAGCAATGAAATTGAATGTCTTTTAATAGAAGATCAGCATAGAAGAATAACCGTTTTCCCAAATCAAGAAAAATATTCATATATTGAAGGACAACTATCAAAAACTGAACAACTTGTGAATCCTGATGCGATGGAGGAAATTGATTATAAAACTTTAGAAGATTTAGAGCCAGAAAAGCCAGATAACAGCTTAGATCAATGGTTTTCAAACCCAAACTTTAATTTAGATGATGAAGAGCCCAAAGATCTAAGTAGAATATATAACGGAGACGCAATGCCATTGGAAGATGAAAAGCCTATAGCCTGTGAGCCTAAAAGCATTATCGGTTCTCAAAATCAAGAAAAAAATATGTATATTCAGAAAAAGAAATGTAAAATTGAACAACTTGTGAGTCCTGATAGGATTGAGGAAATTGATGACAAAACTTTAAAAGAAAAGCCAGATAACAGCTTAGAACAATCGTTTTCAACCATAAGCATTACTTTAGATTGTGAAGAGCCCAAAGATCTAAGTAGAATAGATGGAGAGGCGGCAATGCCTCTTGAAGAGGAAGAGCTGAGCAGCAAGGAAATTGAATGTTTTTCAGAAACGCATGAGCGTAAAAGCTCTATCGGTCCCCCAAATCAAGAAAAATATCCATATATTCAGGCTAAGCCCCTGGAAAAAATAGCTATTGTGGATCCATGTCTTCATAATTCGGATCGTTTTACACGTTTGAGTCCTAGAGAATATAATGACAATGATGATTTATATTCAGAAGTTCAGCCGATGGAGAAACGCAATAAGAAACGTGTAAGTTTCGAAGAAGATAAAAGTCTGGTTGAAGAAATTGAATCTAATGATTCTACCCAACAAATTAGGAACCGAGATTATTGGCTTATATCCATTAATCCTCTTTATTTTTTGTTGCCAAATGTATTTTACTTTTTGATTTATAGCTACTACTATAATTATTATATCCAACCAAAGCCAAAAACGTTTTGGGAAAACGTCTGGCTAACTCTTACATTCCAATAACTAAATTAGCGACTTCAATATATTATATTTTATATTCCGTTTATAGACTTGCCATATTTTATACAAGATTTATCTTTTAAATTAAAAAAGTTTAGCGTTTCAGTAAAAAGAAATTTTTTTTTATAAGAAATAGTTGTGGCCATATCATTTCCGTTTTTGGCATAGTCATGCAATGCAAGTGCCTTAAAAACAAGCTATTTAAATATTAAGTACCAAGTCGATTTGCCACACCCGTCCGACTCCTTTCCCTAAAAACCACGAGTTGAGATGAAGATGGAGATGGCAGGAACAACAGCCGGCCTGACAGCCAATCGCACCAGTGAGCGTCAGCAAATGCAAATTTAATGGTCTATGAAAAAGGTAGCCGGGCAAATGCTTTTAACCACATCCGCTGCTATTAGTTCACCGTCGGAATGGTGAATGGCGAACTGTGAACAGTGAACGGTTGCTAAACAACAAGAGCGACGGATAACAATGGAAAATGATGCCAGTGGAAATGCGAAAATCAATGCGCATTAGAGGATGCCGTTATTTCATCCTATTCTTCTACAGAATTGGCAATATCCCTCGCTTGCCTTCGCTTAAATTTTACATTAGCCTAGGCGGATGTGAAAATCAAGCATCACCGCAAGTGTATAGCAGTCGATTGAACATGGAAATCAATTATAGGTTTTCTAAAAATCAAAAGTCACGAACTTTTACATTTCGTAACAGCGTAGACTTCTTACTTGTAGTACTTAGGCCGAAGAAAGAAAATGATTTAGGAATATGGAAAGTAAGAATAATTATTTAAAAATTTGCTAAAGTCGCAGAAATTTTTTAAAAATTAGAAAATATAATAAATATTTAAGGTAATGTTTGTGAAAATTGTTAAGACAAAAGCCTTTCAAAACTTCCGGTACTTCAAATTGATTTAAGTGCAAAATAATACCTACAAAAAGGTACCTTCGCCATTGTTTTGATTCGAGCGCATCAATCAAAGAATGATGTGTATATGACCGACATTTGCGGTAATTGTTCTGCTTATTCCAGGCCAGATCGCCAAAAACTGGAAACCGGCAACTGCCAACTGCCAACGACCGCAGTCAAATATGAGCAATGGCCCGGATCGGATCGGATCACACGATTCCAAACAAATGCTGACTGGGCGGAGGACTCTCGTCAGCTGCAATCCGCAGAGGGGATATCTGTGTGTATGTGTGTGTGTGTCGCTTTTTCTTTTGGCATTTCCTGCCGTGTCCTGCCATTCGTGCATGCAATCCAAAACACATAGATACAAGCACTCACACACCTACATCAGCCAGGACAACCACACACACAAGCACTCATTGAGGGGCAATGCATTCAAGCGCAAATTAAGCTTGACAAGCAAAAATTAAACTGTGTACGAGTATATCTGTGTGGCTGGGTATATTCGTATCTGGCAGATACATTCGACTCTCACTGTGTGCGTTTGTGTTTGTGTGTGCCCACGTGTGTGTCTCCATGCTTGTTGGGCAAAATATAATTTCTTCATGTTCAGTTCATTAAACAGAGCAAACCAACTTGGAAAAGCACTTACCATGAATAGATTTTTAGGTGCCCCAACTGCGAATCCAGTTGACGGAAAGCCCACGAAATGGCCCCCTTCATCACCATTCCAAATAAATATGCAAATCACAAAATGGTACGATACAAATGAATTTCGAATGTCTCTGCACTTCCTAATGAACTATTTGTGTTTGTCTCCATTGCTTTTATTTGTTTTTTTGATTTCTTGCTGCACAAGTACAAGAATTGAAGCTTGACAATTATCTCATATCTGCCAAACTTGACCTCATCAAATGGTTTCTAAATTCAAAAGCATAAACTATTGAAATATTATATAAAAATGTCTGCTAATCGATTTTTCATAGAATTTTACTTTTCTACAACTACTTTTCTCAGTATTCAATCTCTTTAAAATTAAAGAAGAAAAGGATGAACATAGTCCTTCTTAATTGTCCTGCAGTCCTCTTTCCAATATTACGTAAGAACATAATTTATAACTAACGCATAAAATTACAAGTAAGCATTCTTGTACTAGTACCAAGATAATAATAATAAATAATGAAATGGATGACAAATAGTGAGTTATAGTATGGCTGATTATACCCTGACCCACTGAATTAGAACGCAGATAATTCATTGACCAAATAATCGGAAAACAAAGCGGACATAAATTCATCACGCTGAAAGAAAAAAGGCTCTGCAGTGGAATATTATCTTTGATATTACTTTTTGGTTGGCCGAGGAAATGACAGCGCATAAGCCATTGTACCGAGTTAGTGGCGTCAAATCACTTAAACGCAAACCAGACAAAGGAAAAATCTCTGGCATAAAAAAAATCTCAAAAACCGATTGGCATGGCCAAAAGCAATTCCCCACGATGACAGCCACAAAATGATGAACTCTGTTTTTGAGGTCGGTTGTTAAATCAGAGGCTTGCCTGATATATATATATATATATACTCGTATATATATGTTTATGTTTCTTATTTTAGCAATTTGATACTGAGTCGCATTAACTTTGATATTCGCCTGATTATGACTCTTAAGAGATTTCTGCGCCTTCTCTCCTGCTGCCCATGACTTTTTCACTTTGGCAAAGTTAATGAAATTAATATTAGGCAATGCTCAAGGAGCTCTCAGCAGAAGTTGCAAGCTCATTCAATGCCTTCTTATCAGTGGCGAGCCATTGATAGGCAAAAACTCAATACGAAGTGCATGACTTTGAGGCGGTATAAATAGCAGAAGACGTGGGATGGTTATTTATGGTTTTTCATCGACGAGTGTTCAAGTAAACATAATCACAAGCTGAGTATTTGGGGTTATTCTGTAGGTATATTAACGAAAAATAAATCAAGTATATGTGCTTAAGTAAAAGATAGGATATAAGAGCTACGACAAGAAAATAACCAAAATATATTGCCTACATAACAACATTGACCAGAAAGGTCTTGGATAAATACCGAGCATTTTGGATCTATAGATACCATTTCGATTCACCTCGCCATTAAGTATACATAACACATAAGATGACTGAATCGCATTGGCCTGATTACACCAAGTCAAACATAAAAAGATCTCATCTATGGTAATATGCCTCTGCAAATACTCACTAGACAAATGCTATCTATATGCAATCAGCAAATATGTGCTCAAAGGACCTCGGGTTCGGCGTTACAAAGCCCATAACGAAGGCATCTCATCCATCCCATCTTTTCAATGCATTATGCAGGCACTTTTGCAGGCAAGTGGAAATTATGTCAAAACAAAACGTGCAAGTCAAGTCACTCGTTAGTCTGAGAGGCATTTCAATTAAAGGCTCGCAATGTGGAAGATGGCGTAGGAGCATATCCAGAAAAATACACAGAAATGTGAATTGCAAGCACAAAAGTTCAACTAATACGATATGCAATGACAGGGGAGTGAGTCTTTCAGTTCAGACCGGGCTAAATGGCAGAAAAGGGGCGGATAACATGCCACAAAGACCTTTGAGTTGCTATTTATCAGAACCTCGCAATCTGAGAATTTCAACGCTGAAAGATCACTCTTCAAAGACCATCTCATATAGGCATTTGGTATTATATTAAAATAATTTACGCAGCTATTTTTGTTACTTTCTTGTTTTTAAATTTACAAAAATTACTACAGTGCAGTTTTATATTCTATGTTTAGTATCTATGAATAATAATTTAATTTCATAAATAACATTTCCTTATGCTTATATATCCTGATCTGTTGTAAATCAGAATGAGTATATATATTCCTCAAATATCGTTTTTCCATAAAGAGCATGTGCGTTCGTCCTCGATTTACTAGCAATTTCTGGAGAATCCTCGCTCTGCATTCGAATTTCTTTCTTTTCTTTCAGTTTTTCTGTGCATATGTCTGGGCAGCATTTGTAAGGATTTTCCATGTCTTCCTTTCTTTTCCAATGCACGACTGGGTGGGTGTGTGTGGGTGCCTTTGCGAGTCGACTTCATTCATTCATTCAAAAAAAAGTTAATTCATAAATCGCACAAAGCGCGCTGATACGAAAGACGCACACATGGCAACCCTTATTGCTCCGAACCCCCATGCAAAATGCATTTAGTCGGTAGGAAACTTGGATGCGCCAGTTGCCTCCGTCTCCGCGTGGCCTTCTCGTCTTCCCTTCGGCCCTTGTTCAAATAAAAGATTTCTATCAGGTGGCTCTTATGGCGCATAAAAGTACTTAAATTTGTTTGACTTTTGGCCAGATCTGGGCGGCAGATGGTAGTTGCATTGGGAAGGGAAAAAGAATGGGGCGTGGTCGCTGGTTGGGTTGGTCGGTTGTTTTGACTCGTTATGCGAAATTGCTAAGGCAACTCACGACCCTCGCAACTTGTTTAATTTTTCACCCATCGCCGAGCACGGCGACAGAAACGTTTTGTTTGCGAATGCGTTTAGCGAGATTGCTATGCTGCGATATGGGATATGGTTACTAAATCAGAAATGTATATATGTTCACATCTCTACGACATTATCGAGGGTTGGCACAGGGCAAATTTGCCATTAGGGGTTTTAAGATCAACTTTATCTTGGGGGTAAAATCTAAAATTTGATGAAATCTTTGAGATTTCATGAATAAGTAAATAAAAAACATTACCCTGATTAAATTGACGCTCCAAAATTTGTAGTAATTAAATACTACTTTAAAACTGGAGAAATACTAAAGAATAAAGCTTAAACTTAATTTAACGAGCAAGTAAGATATTCTTTAAAAATAGAAGGAAAGAGCACGCGTAGTTCTTCTGCAACTTCGAGCATTAAGTGCACCTGGAGCCAAACATTACGATTGACCCACGTTGACCCCACCTGCCGGCAGTCAGCCATGAAATTGAACGCCTTCTTGGCGGCATTTTCAATCAGTGGGCGCGGCTAAAAGGGCCGTGGCTAAACACCCGTGAAATGGTGACAAAACCCTCCGCAACTCCATCGAATGCACTCGTCGCACATGTGACTTTATCAAGTTCTGTAAACTGCTTATTTCTCACCACTTCAGCGCCATCTCAAGTGCCACCGATGGCGGAGGTCTAAAAGGGCTTAAAGAAGGCTGA